CACTTTCACAAATGCCTATTCTGCTCCCTGCTGATCGTCCCGAACACCTCCGCCCACCCTGCCCTGCACAGACACAGGAGACTTTGTTGCCTTGGGAATAGCCTGGTGGACTTTATTAAAAAAAATTATATATATATATATATATATATGAAGGAAGGAAGGAGGGAAATAAGGAGAGAGAGGGAGATCAATGATGAGAGAGAATCATTAATAGGCTGCCTCCTGCATGTCCCCAACTGGGGATCAAATCGGCAGCCTGGGCATGTTCTCCGACTAGGAATCAAACCGTGACCTCCTGGTTCATAGGTTGATGCTCATAGGTTGAGGCTCAACCACTGAGCCATGCCAGCTAGGTGGAATTTCAATGTAAGTGCTTTCAAGGCTGAATTTCTGAGGTATGGAAAGGAACCTCTGTGTGTTTTTAGTGAGGCCCTCTGGTCCATGTGTCCCCGTCTCTCAGAAGGAAAAATTTCTCCTTAAAGCAATGTGGTGACGTTGGCTTCCCCATGTGGAGCGGAGAGGCGTTCTTTTTTTAGGAGAAGATTCTTCCCATTTAGTGTGTGAAATCAGGAAGATAGCAAACAAGCAGATATTACTATTTCTCTGGAATCTATTTTTGTTTTGGTGACTGTGGTTTCTGAGCTTTTCAGGAAGAGTTGACTACTCTGTCTCCATTTTTGCAAACCACAAGTTGCCTTTCAGGAAACATGTAGCACTTAGGCATATTTTTTTTTTTTTTTTTTGTAATTGGTCAGCAGCTCATCATTGACTAAAATTGGTGGTTTGTGATCATGCCAGTCTTACTCATCAAAAATCCCTCTTTAAAGCGGCAGCAGGAAGAAGGAAATAAGGAGATTTTAAACAAAATGTTTAAATTTGGGAGGTAGTAGGAGAGGACACTCAAAATATTTCATTTTGGCTCGGCTGGCATGCCTCAGTGGTTGAGTGTTGACCTGTGAACCAGGAGGTCAAGGTTTGATTCCTGGTTTGGACACATGCCAGGGTTGCAGTAGGGGTTGTGCAGGAGGCAGCCAATCAATGATTCTCTCATCATTGATGTTTCTACCTCCCTCTCCCTCTCCTTTCCTCTCTAAAATCAATAAAAATATACATATATATTTAAAAAAACAAACAAACCACACTCACAATAAAACCATTTCAATGTTCTAGCAGGTAAGGAGATTTTCATACTTATGTCATCCATCATTTTTCATCTTTAACCCAAAAACTTCCTTAGCCAGGATTCTCTCCTAAACCACAGAATAGGAAAATGGCCTGAGTATGTTCTCAGTTCTCCCAAGGGTGTTCATGTAAGGAACTGTGAGGTCTGAAATCTTACTCTGCTTGCCAGCTTCCTGATTTGCCTGTGGTGGGGTCACGGATGCTGACAGAGGTCATGAGACTCCCCGGTCAGAGCCAGAGGACTCCACTGATGACAGCAGTGGCTAGCAGGAGTGTCACTTCCCCTCCTGATTCCCCTCAGCTGGTGCCCTTGGGCAGGCAGCACCTCTGTGGTGTGTGACAGGAGAGGAGCCTGGAGCTAAGAAACCCAGACCTTTTAGGAAGAGCAGTGAACCTGCCCTTTGCTCCAGGGAAGTCACAGTCTCCATCTGCCCTGGCTGTTTGCTCTCCACACATCCGTGGAAAGATAGTCCCGAACAAAGGCAGTCAGTGCCTCTCTTTGTAACAGATGCAGAGACACTCGAGACACTCAGAGGATTGTCTCCCAGCACAGGTGACTAGAGCCATTCTAGAGGTCCAGGAGAGATGCTCACTCATTATGAATGCCTTGGAGCTTAATTCGCTCCTAGCAAACAGGTTGAGAAGAACTGCTAGACCTTTGCTATGGGCCGCTGTTTCCAAAATAACCTAGTATTTCTCTAAAATGTTTTAAAACAAAGAAGAGAAAGGAAGAGAATATCAGGACTGTCTTGTAAAAGTAATATTTTCCTTTACTGCTTTTTGAGAAACTGTATTATACTTTAAAGAATTAAATTGTTAAAACACACACACACACACACACACACACACACACAACACTTTGATACTTATTACCATACACACACACACACACACACACACACACACACACACACGCCCTACCAAAATTCTGGAAGGGAGGAGATGGTTTACAAAAAGAAACTCATGTTTGTAATCGCTTGACTTAAGAACAATATGGCCAGTTTGTTTAGGGAGACGCCTGTGAAACACTGTCACTCGACCTCTGTCTAAGCGTAAGCTTTCATTTTTAGGTCTTGCGTTTATTTATTTAACCACTTCTTGCTCCTCCCATTCCTTCCCAGTGGAAAAGTTTCTTGTATCCAAGCAGCTATTCTGTTCTGTTTCCAAACTTTGTTTTGTTCCTTGTGGTTCTCCTCCTCCTCCTCCTCCCACCACCACCGCCACCACCCCTATTCAAGCACCTTGAATATAATTGCTGGTAGACAAAATGACTTCTGATTCTCCACCTGACTTCTTATTGCCTCATCTCCATACCTGTGTTTTGCTCCTGCTTATGAATATCCCATTTTGCAACGTCTGTGCCCACTTGGGATTCTGGGACCCAGAGAAGCACTAGCTGAGGCTTCTGAGGTATTGTGGAGAAGACAGAACCTCAAATACAGAAACTTAAGTCTCAGTGGGAAGTCGGACGGGCTGTCCTGGTGAGCAGGTTAGTGTTGGATCATGTAACACACCTATATTTTGAACGACAAGAAAAAGATCACAGAAAACAGAGACAAAAAAGGCTGGGTTGAGAACTTGACCCACGAAAAGGCTTCTGATTTTGAGTTCTGCTTTGGGACAAGCAGGAGCAAGCCAATCTTACCTTCTGCACCCGCCGTTCCAACAATTCCTCTGCTTTCCAAAAATGTCATTTCCCCTTTATTAAAAAGCAAACAAATAACAGAAAAAAAAGATTTTTTTTTAAAGAAAGATGTGAGGATTAAGTAGGTAACTATAAAATTTATGATCTATGTTCTTAAAGAGCCTTATAAATATAGTCACATTGTTACTTCATCTTTATCCCATCGCTGTCCTCCCTCTGAGCAGATAGATGGCCATCATTTAGTCGCTTGGCTATTTATGACCAGAAAGAGTTGGCGGGGGTGTGGTAAGACATCTCATCTTCCAGCCCCACCGCCACCACCCCTGTTCAAGCACCTTGAATAATGGCTGGGAGACAAAATGGCGATTGTTTGGCTAATGGCAGTCTTAAATTCTCTGTCAGAGCTCCACTCATCCCTTCCTCTCCCTTCCTGATCAGGAAGACATTTTCAGGTGAAGAATGGAGTGAATTTTGCTGCTGGTGACAGGGATCATGTTGAGAGTTATGGGTGTCTTTGCTGTGTATGAGATAGGTTTTGTGACTTCCAAATGAACGGCTGGATGGGGGGTTATAAATAAGTTGTTCAAAGAAGAATGTTTTTTAAAAGCACATCCCCTCTCCCCTTTTCCTGATCAAAGGATAGGAAAGCTTCTGTGAACTAAATATCAAGTCAGTAGTATAATATTTCCGGTACCTGATTTATAAAATCCAACTTTAGCTATAGAACAACTGACTTGATTGTTCGGATGTTGGTTGAAGACTTTGTGTGCCTAGCACTCTTCCTGGCCATGTGAGGTATGCAGAAAGAGCTAAAGAGCTAAAGATGATATCTGAAACCATTTCCGAACAGCTCATGGCAACCTGCCCTCCTGTTTATTGGTGTGATGGGCCTTCGGGGAAGATCTGTGACTTAGGCCAAAAGGAAAGTACTGGGGCAGACCAGCCTGGAGCTGAGCTGAGCTAGGGACAGCTTTGACCAGGCAGAGGGATGGGGGAGGCTGAGGGATGAGGAGAAATGGGAGACAGAGTGTGTGCAAAACCCAGGGAAGCAGAGCTGCAGGCAGACGGGCAGTCTGCCAGGGCAGGTGGGGGGCACACTGGCTCTGAGGGAGGCAGGTTGGGTAGACTGGGTCTTGGGTGGCTGAATGTGTCTGAGCTGGCAGAGATGGAGGAACAGGCTGGAGATGAACCAAGAGACCACAGTGGTAACAGACACAGGGCAGTGAGAATGGGATGGTCTCCTGGTAATGATGAGAAAGTGGGCAGAGGAACAGCCTGGGGAGAAGTTGAAGTAAAACTGGACAGAGTGTGGTGTTAGTTTTTCTAGAGAAGGAAGACTCAATGGCAGTACTCAGGAATGTGGGAGGACAGGAAGCAGCTGCTCATGGAAACTGGTTTTAGCTGAAGAGGGCGAGTTTGAGGTGAGGAGCACTGGGTTCAAGCAGCTGTGGAAGATGTGTGTGCTAGAAGTGAGATGGAACAGAAGGAGTGAGCTTCGTCGACCACTGCCACACGCCTCCCATTGGGCTGCCCGGAGCATAATGTAATTCAAGTCAACACACATGTAGTGATTCTCCCTTTGTGTTTAGAGACCCCTCCTTCCCCCAGGAGTCTGTTCACTGACCTTTTCCATTAATTTTTTTTTTTAAATTTGCAAATCTTAGGGAATGTTCAGGTCCCAAAGATTTTTGCTCTTCGTTGTCTAGTCCTCTCCAGAGAGCTCTTGATTCCCACTGGGTTTTCTTCTGAGTTGCTACATGGTTATGACCAGATAAAAACGTTTTAAACATTCGAAGGCCACGTGCTGAATTGTTGGAGCTCCAGGCCGCCATGTCTACTGCACATCCATTTAACTTTCCGTATAAACAGAAGACCTGCAAGTCCAAGCAGCTGTTCTGGGCACCTGGCTTCTGGTGCCCTAAGGAGGGAGCTGGTATGTGGCCAGGTCGGACAAGACCTGACCTTCTCCACTGCCCTGGAGGAATACAAGGCACCGCTAGTTCGGGGTGCGGCTTTTGGGGTTCAAGCAGCATGTGGAGAGGACTCCGTCCTTCTGTTCATCCGGAGAGACGAGGGAGCCATCATCCTAGCTGATTAGGATGGAGGTGTCATGTGTTTGGTGTTCTGTGGCCTTTATCCTATTAAATCCGGTTCTTCAAACTTCCATCCTTAGCGCAAGCCAGACCCGACCACCGATGGTCCAGTGGCTTAACCCACAGTCTCCGACCGCACTGAGCTGCAGCCCAGCTGCTACCCCTCCTTCACCCAAGTTGTCACCTTTCCTTTCCTGTCCTCCTGCCGCCCCAGCAGACAAGCCACCGGAAAGGTACCTGGTTGCGGTGGGAGGTAGAGTATGGTGCCAGCACATGGAAGGGGCTCCTTCACCCGAGCCAGTCCTCGTGTCCTCGCTGGAAAAGGCTGGCTCGGGCTCCTCCAGCCTCCCGGGCAGCACTCACAGTCTTGGCCCAGAGCTGTACCCCTCTTCCTGAGCAAGGACGTTCTCGGGAGACATTCACCTCCTGTGAGACCCTCTCTAACCTGCTCTTTTTGGTGCTGATATTGCAGTTTTGAAACCATTCATGGTAGAAGAACTTTTTATGCATGAATGTAAAGCACGTACCTTGTTTGAAAAGAAGGTACACAGCACCGGGAACGGGTAAACAAGCCCCTGTCAGTCCAAACAGATCAGTGTCTGCAGAGCATTGTGGAAGCCATGTAGCACGTGTGTGCCTCTGTCTGTCACCAGCCTGTCTTCTGTCTCAGGACACTGGAGCTTTTCCTGATAGCTGCACCTCAGGGCTTAGGGAACAAACATGCCCGGTGGTGCTGATGACAAGGGAGGACCGGAAAGGGCGTCCCGCCAGGCGGAGAGGAGAATGAGGGGAAGCAGTTCAGTGGAAGCTGCTCAGAGAGGATCCCCAAAGAAACATTTGAATTTGAAGCCCATTGTTTACTCGAAAATCAAGTGCTATGCTTGTGCCTGAGGTTCCCTTCCCTCATTTCTCTGGTGGAGGTTGTCCCATCAGTGTCATTGAAATGAGACCTGGGACATGGGCGGTGGTGGGAAGGTGAGGTTTCTCTCCCCTAGTTCCTCTACGTGTTAACTTGTGTCTGTCTCGCTCCTTCCTCAGCGTTACCAGTCGGAAGGCTCGAGCGGTGTATCCGTGTGAAGCAGAGCACAGCTCCGAGTTGTCGTTCGAAATAGGAGCGATTTTTGAAGATGGTGAGTGCTCTGGGAGCTCTGTGGTCGGATACATTCTGTCTGCCACCCAGGATGCCTGCCGCCTAGACCAGGCGGCCCCGGGTTGGGGCGTGGTCAGCGGCACACGTCTCTCCCGTTCTGTTCTGGGCAGGAGGGAGCTGGGCCCTCCCAGGAACGGGAAGCCAGTAGCTGTCTGGAGGGCTGGCACCCAACCCCTGCCTTCATCCTGGTTATTCTCCAACCCTTCTAACTCTTTGGGTCTTCATCGAGGATATCTTTCTCCTGATCTCCTGATGCAGAGAAGCTAGTGCCACTGGAATTAAAATACATTTCTTTTTTTGTTTTGTTTTGTTCTCACCTGAGGGGTATATGTGTTTGTGTGTGTGTGTGTGTGTGTGTGTGTGTGTGTGTGTGTGTGTGTATAGAGACAGAGAGGTGAGAGAGACATAATGATTGGTTGCCCCCTGCACATACCCCCTTAGGGGCCGGGATTGAACCTGCTACCTTGGTATGTGCCCTTGACCAGGAATGGAACCAGAGACCTTTGGGTTTGTGCACTGCTTCTCTAACCACTTAGCAACACTGGCCAGGGTAAGAACATTTCCCATTTTCCATCCATTGTGTCTTCTTTGAGTCCCCAACCAAGCCTCCCAAATGCTTCAGGTTTGCCAGATCTGAGTTACTGAAAGAGAACTATTATAGAAACATTTTGGTTTATAATTCCCTTACTATTCCTATGCTCTGCATGATTTTTGCTGATTTGAGTATTTAGATATGGGTATGGACTTTTCACACTGAAATAAGAGTGCACCTTTTATTTGTGTTTACTATTCATACACAATCATTTGGGAACTATGTCCGGCTTAATACTTTACAAATCACCCCCTGTGGTTGAGTGTATGTCTCCCCTCTCCGGCTTTGATTCATTTCTTCTCCAGTCTAGCTCATGATGGAATTCACTGGTTGTTGTGGAAACAGTGATGTGGTGTGTGGGTGGAGCTGCCCAAAAGAGTTCTGGGGAAACAGAACCTTGGTTCTGGGATGGTTGATTAGCCAGAATGTTTGGAATATATGGAATATAACTACACAGTGCACGGCAATATATTGTCAACAAGGCGTCATTTGCTGGTGAGGGTGTTTTTAGGAAGCACGTGGCCTCTTTTAGAAGAGATTTCTCTATATGTGTGTGCTCTTGAGAGCCCAGGACAACTGAATGTGACAGAAAACAAACCACCGCAACACAACGCCACATCTGACAGAATTATACTTTGTGGAGGAATTTTCATCTTAGCATGTAAGCAAGATCATCCCTCTGCCAACGCCGCGTACGTCACACGGAGAGCATGGTGACATGGCCGCCCTGCCCCGGGCCTGCCACCTGTGGGCACCTCACAAGGCAGAAGGGGAAGCTCTGAAACCCACCCATTTGAGAAAGATGACGCATTGAAACCCACCCATTTGAGAAAGGATGACGATGGACTTTTGCGTTGTGTGATTAGATGGGTCTGGGAGCCTCTGGAATCCCTTCCTGGTACTTACCGCTGAGATATCTGGTACAGGGTGTATCTGTTAGGAGGCCGTGTGCTGCAGTAACAGAAACTGACACAGGAGGCACATTAATCATGAAGACGGATTAGCTCACGCAGCAGGAAGTTGGCGTCAGGAGCTCTAGGGCTGGTTCCCGCACATTCACCACCACCACCGTGTCTCCCCTCTGCTGAAGCATCCTCAGCTCGGGCCGGGGCGTCTGGCTGGCTTCCCCGTGAAGCCAGGACGGCCGCACAGTCGCAGGCACCGTGGCCACACTCAACTCCAGCAGAAGGGTGCCTGTTCCTGGCTTGTGTTCCATTTTTTTTTTTTTTTTCTCCTTCGAATGAGAAAAGTTTTCCAGAATTTCCCTACTTGACTTGCCCTCTTATCTTGATAGCCAATGGCATCATATACTCACCTTGACCTTGTTCACTGGCAAAATCCAGAACCACACTGGGGACAGGGAGGTCTCCTCTGGATCCGCAGACGCAGGGAGGAGGGTCAGGCCCTCAATCAAATGCACTTCTATCAGCAAGGATGGTAGATGTCTGCACTGGGGACTGAAGTTCTCCACCTCTGAAGTCCTTAGATGACTTGCTGGAGTCCTAAAAAAGTGTGTGTACATGAAACTATTTGTGTGGTGTATATGTGTGTGCGTGTTTCTTTCTCTCCACACACACACACACAGATACCAGTATCTTAGTGTGTTTGACGGGAGGACAGCTTGACAGCAGGTAGCTACGGATGGTCAACTGTGGAGTTAATGAGTCTGAGATCAAATCCTGGCTTTTCCACTCTCTGTGTGACTTTGTATTTGGTCTGTAAGTTCTCTGTGCAAGTGTTTTCATCCTGATCTTCAGGGATGTCCACAGATGGATGTGTGTGTCAAGACAGCTTTTTGGGTCATGGAAGGTGGGGCTTTGAATGTGTGGATGGAGGATGTGGCTGATGTTGGAGCACTGAGGCCACATGCACTATTGGATGAGCCTTCAAGATACACAGCAGCCCTAGCCGTTTTGGCTCAGCGCATAGAGCGTGGGCCTGTGGATTGAAGGGTCCTGAGTTCGATTCTGGTCAAGGGCACATGCCTGGGTTGCAGGCTTGATCCCCAGTAGGGGGCATGCAGTAGACAACCGATCAGTGATTCTCTCATCATTGATGTTTCTATCTTTCTCTCCCTCTCCCTCTTAGAAATCAATAAAAAAATATATATATTTTTTTAAAATACCCAGCAGTACAATGAATCCACAGGGAGCAAATACTTGGGGCATTTTGATAAAAAGTGATTTCTCTTCCCTTTCAGTACAAACCTCGAGGGAACCTGGCTGGCTAGAAGGGACTCTGAATGGCAAGAGGGGGCTGATTCCACAGAATTACGTCAAGCTGCTCTAGCGCCCATCCTGTGAGGGCCCCCACGGACCCTGGCACCCAAGGCCCTGCCTGGGGCAGCGAAGCCACAGCCCCCCGGACACGGGAATTCCGGATCTCCATGGGCGCTCCGGGGGCCTGGAGGGGCACACACTGCCGGAGGCGGGGAGAGGGGCACACTGCAGAGAACTGTGTGGGTCTGTGGAGCAGGAGGGCAGTGTCGGGATGGACCTTCTATTGGTCACGCCTCAGACACATGATTGTTACTTATCCAGAGCAGGAGGGAGGGTGGTGGCCGCCTGCCAGCCCCACTTCCCCTCTGGCCACCACCCCTAGGGACACCTCCCCACCCTGCTGCTGAGGTTTGAAAGGGAACTGTCCTCGTGGTGGTGTTTGCAGGAGGCCTCCTGGCTCCGGTGGACGTGCGGAGGGGCTGCTGCTGGTGATCAGGGCAGTGACTCGGTCTACACCCAGCGGGCAGGTGCTCCTCCCTGGACGGCCTCCCTCGGGCCCCTCGGACCCCACACTCATGCTACACTGAGAGCACCCGCGTATTTATAACAGGCTTCTCCTTGGTGGTGCTCACCCGCGTGCTGTTTCCTGAACACCACCTCTTTGTCCAAGGTCTTCTCTGTACATGAAATAAAATGTCATTTACTATGTGGTGTGTGTCGTCATGCGGGGAGGATGCCAGAGTGTGTTTCCTCTGTAATGTCTTATGATTTGCCAGCCGGTGAATGGAAATTCCCTTCCTGCTGACCTGGCACTCGCTCCCCTCCCTGGAAGGAGTCAATGAGGAGCCTTATCTGCAGGAGCAGTGTTCCTGGGGGCAGCCGCCTCCCCATGTGTGAGGCCCCAGAAGCTTTCTCCAGCCTCCAGGACCACCATTCCCCAGGGCCTGCGTGACCCTTGACCCGAAGCGGGGCTGGCGCGATGCCCCCAGTGGCATGTGTGGGAGCTGCAGCAGCGCTGCGGGGCCGGCCCTCCCACCCGCTGGCTGTACAGCTCTGCTCTCTGTTTTCTAGGCTCTAACTCTGGATTAAGCTGGGCTTCGCAGCAGCAGGCCAGGCCTTCAGGCCTTTCTGGAGGGCCTGCTCAGGATGGCCCCCCGCCTGTGGGCAAGCCCTGCTGCCCCGAGTGATGCTCCCTCGCTCTTAGCCTCAGATTCCCAGGCCCGGGCTAACGCAGCCTCTCGGGGCAGAGGATGCCCCTTTGTCCCGGGCTCCCTGTGTTTCTGTCCCCACAGGAGGTGCTGGCAGACCCCTCTCCAGAGAATGTCACGGGAAGAACGTGTCGGTCGCCTCTGCTTAGATGACTTGGTTCAAGAGCTCGCTGGTCCTCAGGTTTGAAGGCCTCCCCTGGACCAGGTAGGTGTCAAGTTTGGGGTCAGGTGTGTGCGTGGCAGTGGGCCTGTTGAAAAATGTCCATGTTACAACTTAAAAATAAGCAGCATGGACCTGTGGGCTCAGTGGAGACTATTGGGACTGCCGAGGCAGCCAGCCAGCTAATCTGTCTTCATGATTGACCCTTCATAGTCTCTAGTGTCCTGTTTATGAGTGGTCATTTCCTGCGCTTACGGGCATAGAAGGGCTACTTGGCTTCTGGAAAGGGATTAAGGTGTGCTCCACTTAAAGACAGTGATCACCAACTGGTGGTCTGAGAAACCCTGGTGGTCCGTCAGGGCCGAAAGGTTGGTGACCACTGCTGTAAGAAGCCTCTCTGTGGGAAAATGGAAACCTATGGGCCGGAGTGTGGGCTCAGGTGGGCACGGGGGGTGACTTCCAGGCAGCATTCCTAATTGGTGTGTCCCCACGGGGCACTGAAAAATAAGACCCTTCATACCTGGATGTGATTTATGTGTTTGCTTAAGAGGTTTCCATCACCCACACTGAGGTGTACCCAACATGCTGTTTCCCCAAAATTGCTATTATCCCCCCAAAGGGTGTATCCTACCACTTACCTGGAAAAGGAAATTGCCACTAAGTCTGGCTACTTGTGTGGTTTGGGGCAGATTAAATCAACTCTGTGGTTCTGTTTCTGCTTCCTAAGAATACAATACCTGGGGTTGACATACCGAATACATCATGCCCAGGACATAATCCCTACTCAGCTAATGGAACTGCTGGCACTCTGGTTGCCACTTGCATCTTTGTCAGGACCATCCGTGCTCTGTGAGGTGGCAGTGTGGGGACAGTGAGGCCCCGCAGGGCTGGCTGCATGGGTCCCACGGCCCCACGCCCTACAGACCCTTCCTGGCGCACTTGGTGAAGAGCAGGAGGGTTGTTCTCTGCGAACAGAGTCCCCATGTGGGAAGCTTTCCCCGGGCCAACCCCAGAATAGATTTACTAACAGGATCATGAGGTGCTTTCTGACATTTGGCAAATCACCCTCATTTCCCCAGAAGAGAAATGGGGTGCATTGTTTTGTGTGTTTGCTGCCTGGGTGTGGCTGATCCCAAGAATCTGGGCAATGGCCCCCACCTCACTCATGGCGCAGACCCCTCCCCTCGCCCCTGGTCCAGCACCAGCTGCAGCGGCTGAGGGGGTCTGCAGCGGTGTTCACCCAGAGGCACCAGAGGGCACTCAGCTGCGCCTCCTGTTTGCAGTGGGGCAGGGGGCCTGCATCTGATGGTGTCACCCAGGAGCCCGACTGGTGGTCTCTGTGCCTGTGAAGGAGATGCCAGGGGAGAACAGGCCTGTGTGGGCCGCACCCCCTTCCCTGTTGTGGCAGAAACGTCTGCCGTTGAGGCTGGAGGTGGGGAAAGCAGCAGATTGGAGCCGCGGAAGGATCTTGTCTTATTGATGAGAAAAGGGAGGCACTCCTGGGCAAAGAGCTGGCTCTGCTTCAGTGGGCTGCTCACCTGTTCCTCCTGCTGCGCCATTTTGCTCCGGGAGCCTAGAAGGGGATACTGGTGGTGATGGGCTGAATTGTAACTCCACCCCACCCAAAATTCAGATATGGAAGTCCTGACCCCAGTACCTCAGAAAGTGGCCTTCTTCGGAGACAGGGTTATTGCAGATGCCATTAGTAAAGATGGCAGCAGGGTTGGGCGCTAATCCAATGTGACTGGTGTCCTTATGTGTCTCAGTATCGCTTAGCTGCTGAGAGACACGCCGAGGGAAGACCACATGAAGAGACACAGGAGAAGATGGCTTCTGCAAGCCACAGAGAGAGGCCAACGGCAGCCCTTCCCCACGACCCTCCTGCTGGCCTCTGGAGCTCGGACTTGCCGCCTCCAGAACTGTGAGCGCTGAGACAACACATTTCAGTTAAGTCAACCAGCTTGCAGTGCTTGTTATGGCAGCCATGGGGAACTAACACAGTGGCTCAAAGTATGGTTTGAGGTTAAAAAACAGCTGGGTTTGAAGTCATTTTTTCACTCTGCTTTGCTGACCTTGGGCATGCTAACTTGGGCTCTTTAAGCTTCAGTTACCGCTGTGAAGTGGAGAGAGTAGCACCTGTCTCGTTGAGATGCTGTGACAAATGGTGACACTTGCAAGTGCCTGAAGGGTGTGTGGCGAAAAGCACGGTTAGTGAGTGGAGAAGATGGGGGGAGGCGGAGTACAGTGCTGGTGCGGGTTAGTCTGTCCTCTTCCTTCTCCCCTCCTCGCTTCTCTCCAGGGTCCCTTCTCCAAAGGCCATTCCTGCTCTTTCCCTCTGCCCAGCACAGTTTGGCCTTTCCTGGGCCTTGTCTTCGCTCCCCATTCACTTCAGTGCTGGGCCCCTTCTCATCTTCTTCCTGGTTCTCCCCTCAAGTCCAAAAGCAGCCATGGTCACCCCTTCCTCAGCCAGATGTTCCTCATGAGCCTGAACTTCCTAAGCCATGTGATTTTCTCTCCCCCACACCCTTGCCTTTGCAGGAAGATGCTATTCCAAGAGAGCATCTTAAAGTGGCTGTCCTGTACCTGCCTCTGCTTATGTCTTTCCAGAGGCTTGTCACTCTTTTCCCCTTTACCGGCCTGGGCAGTCATTAGTTGCTACCCCATGAGGGTAAGCTGGCTCATTGTCCCAGTGCTTTCATGCCTGGCTAAACATATCTCATTCTTCTGGTTGGAAAATTACCTTGGAGATTCTTTCCTATCAGAAGATCAACTCGATTGGAGGGCAAGTTTCTGCTTTTGCCCCAAACAGGACACCTGTCCTTTGGACTCGGGCAATAAGGCATGGGGGCAGCTCAGTGCTCAGTGCCATGAGTCAGAGTCTGGATTTCTCCTTCCTCAGAGGGTTTGGCCTCAGAGGAAACACTGTAGGCGAAGCAAATGGGGTGGGAGGGACGTGGCCTGGTCCATTCACGCGTTTTCACAATCATGAGGGAGCCATGATCTCTCTGGAGAGGCGGACCGAGGCCATAGAGAGCCAAAGAAATGGGTTAGGCCATGAACACTTAGAAGCCACTGTCTTGGCAACATCAATTCTGTGAAGAAGATATCTGAGTAATTGCTAGTGGTCGATGGATTTAATGACCCCACCATTCCAATTTCACACCTCCCTTTCCCATGTCCTTTTTGAGGGGCCCTCCCATGCAGACTGTAAGCTTGGCCTTGTCACTTGCTTTGGCCAGTGAAACGGGAGCAAACGTGATGCAATCCAATGCTTGAAAATTGTTAGACCTTCCCACTGTCTTTATTATTATTATTATTATTATTATTTTTATATTTTATTGATTTTTTACAGAGAGGAAGGGAGAGAGACAGAGAGCCAGAAACGTCGATGAGAGAGAAACATCGACCAGCCGCCTCCTGCCTGATGAGAGAGAAACATCGACCAGCCGCCTCCTGCCCATCCCCTACCGGGGATGTGCCCGCAGCCAACGTACATGCCCTTGACCGGAATCGAACCCGGGACCTTTCAGTCCGCAGACCGACGCTCTACCACTGAGCCAAACCGGTTTTGGCCCCACTGTCTTTCTTAGAGCCTTTCTTCTTCTGTGAAAATATGCACAGGCCAGCCTTCTAGAGGATGAGGCTGGCTTCTGGAGGCTGGCCGCCCATGGTCCGTGAACGAGCCTGACTCAGCCCCGCCTGGCCCACATCAGCAGAACCCTCCTGGCTGACTCAAAGTCATGAGAAGTCATACATGGTTATTGGTGATTGATGTAAACCACTAATTATTTGTGTGTGTGTGTGTGGGGGGGGATTTGCAGCTAACTACCAGCTACTCTGCCCCATGATTCACTTTGCTTCCAATACACTCTTGGTCCATGTTGATCATTCAGATCATATCTTAATCTCCTCTTATCCAGTTTGTTTTATTTCCCCCCCAAAAAATGCAGCATTGGCAATTGGATGACTGGAAATTCAAGTGTCAGAGATGCTTATAATGAAGTCATTTTGGTCTGTGAACACTTGTGGTTTATCAAGAAGAATGTTAGAGCAGACTTTAACATAAAAGGACACTGTTGTCTACTTGCATTTAATGTGGGAGAGCAAGCCAGCCCCTAAGTACATATGATCGGGATGCAGGTTCCCACTGCCCTGGCCCACAGTGGTGGCTGTTGCAGGGGCGGTCTTAGTTCTTAGCTGATTCCTAGATGTGCAGCTGGATTCTTTGGGTCTGAGAGCACGCTTAGAAATTCTTAATATGGTCATACTTGGCCTAACACTGAGCCTGCTTTATTCAGAAAGGGCACCCACTTGAATCAAGGGTGCCAACTGGGGTGGCCTCTTACTAACCTTGGTGGGCTCATGGCCTCAGATGGCTTTTGTTTAAAATTATGGGTTCTGTGTGAAAAGCCCTACTCCTTAATATGTAAAGTTCCCTAAATTTTAAGATATAAAACTATCTTCAATTATATATGTCTTACAAGTTTGTACATACTTTAGCTTTTTAAGTGAATTTTTTCCAGTGTTGTGTTTAATGATTGTGAGGTGTTCCAGAAAAATATCTACTGTGTTTAACTGAAGTTGAATCTGTTTAACTCTCAAATAGTCTTGTCATTCTCAAGCAAATGGGTTTGAATGATGACCAGTTAAAATGACCTCCTGGTCAATGGCAGACCACATAAATGACCGCACTCTCTGCAGTTATAATGGAGCTGAAAAATTCCTACCACCAGCAACATCGTAGCCATGGTAACATTACTGTGTAATACATTATTCACTTGTTTGTGGTGATGCTGGTGTACACAAACCTATCAGTGGTGTAAGAGAGCAGCACTGGCGGTTATGTACAGCACATAACACTTGATCATAAATGTCTTTCTTACCGGTTGATGTATTTTTTCTACTTATAAATTGTTTGCTGTAAAACAGCATGGTTACATAGCTCGTGTTTACCGTGCTCTCGATGCACCCTTTTCTCTTATGCTTGATTTAACTTCATGTTGTTTTATAAAGTTAGTGTAACTTCAGTGTCCAGTGTTTATAAAATCTACAGCATATACAGTAATGTCACAGACCTTCCCATCCCTCATCACTCAATGACTCACCCAGAGCAACAGCTGGTTCTGCAAGCTCCATTCATGGTACATGGCCTGTATGAATGTAATATTGTCAACCTTTCGACAGTATTGTTACTGCACCTTTTCTATATTTAGATACACCAATACCTAACATTGTGCTGCAGTTATCTATAGTATTCAGTACAGTAACATGCTGCGCAGGTCTGTAGCCCAGGAGCTCGGGTGTGTAGCAGGCTACCGCGTCTAGGTCTGTGTGAGTGCTGTTAACGTCCCCACAATGACGACATTGCATGACGATGCAGTTCTCAGACATATCCCCATCATTGAACTGTGTGTGGCTATGCTTTAATTTACCTTGTGGGGAAAAATGTTTTCTCCTTTTAAAAGGAGCTGATAACTGCTTATTGCTCTCCTGAGTTTCATATTAACGAGCAGAATTGAGGAAAGTCTATAAGGAGTGAGAAACATCGTGGCCAGCGGGGACCTGAGTCTTCCTAGAGGAAGACCTCTGAAGTCAGACTGGGCACCTGGTCTACTCACATGAGTCTCTAGAATGAACAGCCTTTCATGTAGTTGTCAAGATAAATGAGGCAATGTGTAGATACAGGGGTTAGCAGTAATCATACTTTTATAGGGCATTTTAGCGGGCCAAATATTAATGGTAAGAAACAAGGCATCTAATCAATCCCCAAAGAGTATAATTAACACGTGGCTAACGCAGGTCTCTAACATGGTGGGGAAACACCAAAAACCTGATACTCCATCTTGGATGTAGGCAGAAGCACATGTGATCAAAGTTTAGGAGGACACAAAATCCAGGTGTTCCTATAGACATTCAAATGAACTGTTTCCCAAACAACAGGTGATTAAGTAAAGGATTTATTGTAATCTGCTTACAGTCCTTTGCAAAGACAGACATATGTTTTTGCATAAAGATATAAATTGCTTCATTTTTAAACTAATTTAGTGTGTTTTCTTTTTAATTATATGAAGAAGTTCTGGTGAATTATGAATTGTACCAAACCGAGATTCTTAAGAGCAATATGGTACAAAAATAAGAGCAGACAGACAATTTGGATCGGGACAGGCATTCAGCAGTGGATTTAGAATATGGCTTTGCTGTTGAACCAAGCAAAGTTACCTGGAGACGCACAAACAGCCAGGACCGCCATGAACATGAGAAGCCCGCGCAGACCACCTCCACCCCAAACCTGGTCACGTCGGAATTCTGACTGCGTAAAAAGTAAGTCTGAGCTGAGAGCTGCTCGTGTAAGCAGTTTCTTTTCTAGAAACTCCCACTCTGCATGTGGTGCATCTCTCCTTTCCGAGGATGGCTTTCATATTGCTGTGCATGTAAGTTAGCTGTGTTTAAAGATCTGCCTATAAATTAAATTCCTGAAATTGCAAATGATGTAAGAAAAACTCCCTCCGAGTGCAACTTTCACAGGCTTCCCCTTGCATAAGGCAGGTGTCGTTGGAAAGACAGGGTAATTTTGCCTGCACAGTGAACGCTGGAGAAAAGGGTGGGTCCGACACTGCCTTCTCCTGGCCGTGGGCTTCTCCGGCTACCGCTTGTAGGTTTTGGAAAATATTGTGATTTCACTGAGTACCTGATGATTATCATCACTTTTAAAGATTGATTTGGCCTCTAGTCAAAAGTAGTTTATTTAGTGCAATCGTATTGCTAAGTGTCCCCAAAGACAGATGTTTGTGATGTGGGGCAAGAGAAAAGCCGTAAACTGCATCAGTGCCAAACAGATTAATGAATTACAAATTTTAGTGCCACTGTCTTGCTTATATGATCTGTAGTCCCCCTCCCCCCAAAACTGTTTTATGTATAAAATGTATTGTTAAAACCTACCTTTTAAAAATCTAAAAACCCTCTAATGATGTCGCGGTCTCCCCGCTGCTCTGACCGTGCCCGGCGTGCATCTTTCTCGGTGTGTCCTGCAAACCTGCGTGTTCCCGTGACCCATGCTAGGAGTGCCAACACCCTTTCCTAAGACCAGACGTGAACATGTCACCTTTCACAGGTGGAGCGAGAGCATGGGATTTCTGGGACTGTGCTCGCCGAGCCCTTGCGTGTCACGGGCTCTCACCAGCAGCCGGTTCTGCTTCTCGAGGACCAAGGAACCTGGTGACATATTCAAGGCCCTCCGGACCCACAGCCCGCGGCCGGAAAACATGCTCCCGTCCCACGAGCACCCCCGCGGGAGACCAGAGACAAAACGAAGGTACAGACAACGTAGAAAGGCTTAAGGACAACCCAGGAGGTTTCAGTGTGGTTATTTACAACAGAGACTGGAAAATGGTAACTCAGAGGTGAAGCTAAAAAAGGCACAGCTCTCCCTTTCTTAAATACACTGTAAACGGTTCATTAGGCATGCAGAGCATCTCACTTTACAAAAAGAAATTTTTTTTTTTTACCTTGTTTAGACAAAGATAGTACTTAAATAGTCTCCAGCAAAATAGAATTCTTTCAAAAATACTTTCCTATTCTTCCTATTAACCATTGAAGTTTTTTTGTGTGTCTTTTTTTTTTTCTTCTCATTTACAAAAGTTCCTTATACCATATATAACTCAGGTCCTTCACAATTTATACATACAGTAATGTACAGCACAGCAAAAGACTGCAAAAAATTATCTGTAAAGCCAACACAATAGATACTAAGAATCGAAACTGAGGCATTTGTTTGAACGTCTTATCCATTCTAATTAACCAGTGGACGCTGGGGGGTGGGTGGGTGGGGGACACGCCAGTGATGCGGAGGGACGCGGGCGAGCCAGAGGGGGGCGCTCTCCCCCTCGCTGCTCTGTTATGACACAACGGAATCTGTATAGGGTTTTTTCTTTCTGTTTTTTTTTTTTTTAAATAACAAAAGAATATTAATGCCCCATATAGCCTATACGTTGTATGTGCAAACCAAGGGTAAGCTTGAAAAAGTACATTAGTCCTTGAACCCTTTTAAAACAAGCGGCTGATAACCAGAAACTACATGGCATAGTTAAAACCTCCATCTGTTAAAGTATCAAAATCAGAGAGTTATTGACTAGATATGGCTTTTCATCCAGAGGAACGTGTTTCTAAGCGCTGGGGACTGGAGAGGGGAAGAGTCCTTTAGAGTGTAGACTGTCCGGGTCTTGCCAAATCCATGTCTTAACTTCTAACCTGGCCCCGAACCCTTAGCATGACCTTAAACTCCAGAGACTGCTGCATGAGGGCGACTCCGCCATCACCTGCTAGAGATACGATCTCTCGGGTCCTTCGTGGGTGCGGAACGACACAGGGGAACTTAAGGCAAAGTTCTTCTGCTGCGGCGAGTCCCTCACTTCCTGTGGAAGTAGAGCGGCTTGGCGTTCCCGGACTCCACCTTGGGCAGCTGGTCGCTGATGATCTCCACCAGCATCGCGGGGAACTCCACCTTCAGGGCCTGGGACTCCCGGAAGGTATAGAAGCAGAATTCCAACAAGTCACTCACCAGCTGCAACACAGAGAGGGGGCGTGACACAGGTCAGACTTCCGTCCCTGTCCCTGCAGCATTCTGCACTATAACGCGTGTCAGATCCCAGAGCCACGTTCAGAAATCCAGCTGGGAGAGCTTAGTACGTCACCTGTCCTGCGGGAGGAAGGGGGGTGCTCGTGTCACCAGGCACGCGGTATGCCTTCGTGCGAAACAAATCCCGCCACGAGCTGAGTAACTGCTCAGGATTAAGTGGATCGGTGGCAACAGGGACAGGAATCAGGATCAAAGTGGCTGGATCACTGAATTGCTGCCCTCAGATTCTTATGTGTAATTGGGTGGGGCGAGTACAAGTGTGTGTCTCTGGGTGATGGGCCTTCCCAAGACTGTAAGGTGGGCTGGGGCGAGGGGCAGGTGCCCAGGACAGTGAGGGACAAGGCAGAGCTCCTTAGCTGGCAGGGGCCATGCCCCCTCTAGGCCTGGCTTAGCCCCTCATCCTTTCTTTACTCCTCCTCCCCTCGTCCTCCCTCCTTCAGGCTTTCTGTCCTCAGCTGGTGGCAGACTTAGACTTCTCAGTTACTTTTTTCATTTGCCCCGAGGTTTTTTTTTTTTTTTTTTTTTTTTTTTTACAGAGAGGAAGGGAGAGAGACAGACAGAAACAATGATGAGAGAGAACCATCGATCAGCTGCCTCCTGCACACCCACTACTGGGGATGTGCCTGCAACCAAGGTACATGCCCTTGACCGGAATTGAACCCGGGACCCTTCAGTCCGCAGGCCAATGCTCTATCCACTGAGCCAAACCGGTCTTGGCATGCCTCCAGCTTTTGAGCTATGCAGTGTTATGCTTGGCCTAGAACATTATAGAAGTTTAAGCTGTACCATAGGTTGATGCGATACACTTATATATTGCAAAGTGATTAGCCAAAACCTGCATGATGTCACATAATTACCATTTCTTTTTTGTGGTGTAAGTCCTTAAGATATACCGTGTGATTAGCTATAATCACCATGCTGTACATGAGATCCCCAGAACTAGAAATTTGTCCGCTTTGACCAACATTTCTTTCCCCCAGCTCCTGGTAACCACTGTCCTACTCTGTTTCTATGAGTTTGGCTTTTTTAGATTCTGCAGGAAAGTGAGATTATACAATATTTGTCTTTCTACTTCTGGATTGTCTCAGTATAATGCCTGCTGTCAAGGTCCATCCATATTGTCACAAATGGCAGGATTTCTCTTCTGCACAGCTGTGCAATATTCAATGTGAGGGCATCTACTGTATCTCCATGCTTTTGCCCACTGTCATCCTCGCTCCTTTGCAGGCGGATTTTAAGTAAAAGCATTAAGGACAACTCTGACGTCCCCTCGCCCATCCAGCCATTTTCCCTCCTCTGTCACTCAAGGACCTTCTCAGTCTCCTGGGTCTGAACCACTTTTGTGAAGTAAAGAAACAGTAACCACAAATGCAGTAGAGCATTCTATGGTTGTTCTTCTGTTTACTAGGAATATCATTTCACATCACAATGTACACATTCTGATTTTTTTTTTTTTTCTTTCGATAGTTAACTAGGCTTTTGGTCATTTCCCTCTGTGGTAAAGCAGGCAATACTAATCCATGTCAGAAAAGCAATTCTTATGAAAACACGTCTGTCATTTTCCCTCAGGTTTTTTTTTTAAAAAACTCGAATAGCGAGCCTTAATTGCATGGGACAGTAAATGAGTGTGTGGCAAAGGCCTTCACTGCAAACCGGAAGTCGAGAAGATGTCACTGGGAAAGATACCGGCTCTGCACGAGGCTGCGGAGTGCCGTTCCCCAGGCAGGTGCCGAAGACGGTGACACGCAGTAAGTGCTCCGTGGCCTCTGGGCGTGGGGGCCGGGGAAGCTGGGAAATAGCACAAGCCTCCATCCCCATCCGCTCTGGGCACGTTCACTCACATGCTTGCTCTGTGAATGTGGTGCCTCAGTTTCCACACATAAACTGAGGGTGAGGAGAGCACCTGCTTTCTAGGGTACCTTCTCTTTAAATCAGAGGCCAAGAGGCTCTGCTGGGGTGGAGCCTCTTTAACGCTGCCCTCCTCCTGGCTCCTCACTCCTTCCCCCGTTTATCTCCACGGACAGTTTACCAAACCTGCTCAGGCATCTTACTGGAACTTGGTCCCCCTTCTCTAAAGTGAAGGGCAGGAGGACTTTGTTTTCTGCTTTCCCAGAAAAAAAGGTTCTCAAAACAGAATCGGGATGGCAAGTTTCTCAATTGAGGTGGCGGGCCACTGGTTGTGAAAGCTACAGCCTCCCGTGCCTCCTTCTCCCCACATGGGGCCCCACCTTTCAATGGGGGAGAGCCCTGCAGCTTGGGGTGAGCAGAGGTGGGGTCCCTCGGGACTTCAGAACAGGGGGAAGCTCTGTGCAGACCTACTGCCATCTGAAACAGGCGAGAGCAGTGCTGATTCACACACACTCAGATGCAGGCAGAATAAATCAGTCCTCACTGCGAGGCAGTGTGCATGGAGCGCCTCTGTGCCTGCTCATGGGGACAGGGCCCGACCCTCTCAGCACCTCTGTCCCTGACTGTGACACTTGCATTCCTAGGAGGAGCAGAGAAACCCAGAAGGGACAGGCCTAGAGCTCGGCTGTGTTCCTCGCAGGTTGGCTGGGAACAAGGATCCTGGTCACTACTCCCTCACCGTACATCTGACCTGGAGCTGCCGTTTCTACCACCTCTGCTCGTTTCCAGTCAGGAACGGATGGATACCCAGGGCTCCTGTTTACAGTGAGTGCAGAGGGAGGGGTGGCCTGGGCAGCTCCAGGTGAGGCCTGGAGCACACCTGGGGGAGAGGGCCCTGTCACCACCACCACACACTCAGAAAAGAGCTCACCCTCAGGGTGGCTGCTTTGGACGACCACCGGGCCCGGGGACACGGCTGAAGCCCTCTGTAGGCCAGGAGTCACCTGTGACAGCCAAAGGCATGCGCCCCCAGTCACTGGGTGAGAACATTCTTGACCCGCTGCAGATGCTGGGGGATGGCAGTTCCAGGCCTCCAGCCCTCCTGGAAGCTGTGGCTGAAGGTGGTCAGACTGTGAGGTCAGACTAGGTCCTAAGAACTGGGACACTGACCAGCCAGAATGGACTGTGCACCAAACTGCTGTCACGGCGGGCACAGTGTCTAACCCTCATGCTGTCTCCCAGGTGTCACCCCGGAGCAATGAGCGGCGTGTGCAGAGGAGCCCAGCAGGGGGGCACCTGCCCGGAGGAGCCAGAAAACCACGGCACAGACAGGTACAGTGCACACGTCGTCACTGGACACTCTCCCAAGATCAGAGTTGGCAGAGTGAGGCCATAGTCAGACCCTGCAAGATGGCTGTGCATCACTAAACCTCCACCGATAGTTCCTGCTTACACCCAAACCACAGTTTCCCCTGCAGCCTCAGGCCCCCGCCCCCACCCTGTTGTGCGGGAAAAGCCAGACTTCTCACAGGCCACTTTAAAATTGAATCACTCCAGGTCCACAGCATGCACAGTCCAGAAGTTTTCTTGGACACTCCATGAGCATGGAATGATTTTTCAAAAATGTCTCTTCAAATGATAGTTTTGGCTTTTTCTACAGGTTTCCCAGGCTTTTCCTTTCACAGAACCCCACTCCCTGCAGTCACTTCCCGCCCCCAGGAGACCTGGAATCTTGGTCTGAGGACCCTTGCTCTCCTCTGTACTCAGATGCCATTTTTTGCCTTTCTGATTACTTGACAATTAAAGCCAGGTGACACCCTCCTCTTCTATCTTGTGGTTTCCACCTGCTGCTGGTGTCGCTTTGCACATCTGCAGCTCCTCAGGTGGCCTGCAAGCTCCTTGAAGACAGGAAGTACGATGCAGCCACACAGCCCCTGGGAGAGGCCTTCCTGCGAGCTCTGGGCAGCCTGGCTCCTGCCTTTCTCTGACTGTAAGTGACCACCTCCATCAATGCAGCCTGAATAAATAACGCACACCTCAATCTGTGAAGCTACCCGCTTCCATCTTTTCCCCTCAGTTCGATGCCCTTCGACTTGTTTATGTTGGGTTTAATGTGAGATTGTATGCACCCCACCTCTGCTGTCAGAGGGACTGGGGTCCAGGGGACATCACGGCTACAAGGACCAAAACTCTGCCCTGCGGCCTGTCAGCATGAACCTCTAATTGTAGTGATTCAAACAGCCAGGCCAGCCGTCTCATCACTGATTCCCACCGGCTTTCCTGGTGACACCAGACTAGATGGAGAGGTAAGAATCCAACATGAGGAGGAATAAGAGACAGTTTTGTGCAGTGACTTTTCATTCTGTACAAAATGCATCTGCTCGGATCACAGAAGTTTAGCTCAATGCTCAGCATTTCTCTGTCCACTGGGCAACAGCTGCCAGAGGCAGATGAGCCGGCAAGGTCAGAGAGAGAGCAAGGGCCCTTGGAGGCCTTCCTTCCAGGCTCTCCCCTGAGCGGTGCCCACGCGTGGCCTCTTGGTTCCCCTGCAGGTGGGGCTGGAAGGTTACAGAACCACTTGGTAGGGACAAGCACCTGGCGAATCACTGCCTCCAGGAAGCAGGCCCCACTTGTTTTCAATTGTGTGCTCCCTTCTCCCAAGTTACTGCTGACTCCAGAGCTTCCACCTGAGTAGGATCAAGCTTCTTTTTGCTTGAAATAAGCCTTCGGGGGAGGTTTGAAGCTTTGTTTTCAAAGATCAGGATTCTAGGCAGCTACAGGATAGGGTTAGGGCCAGATACAGAACTTCACCTCCATACTATCATAGGAAGAGAAATAGTTATATATTCCAGGTGTTCCCTGACAGGTGTGAACACTGGAAAGTGTCCTGCAGTGATTACAGAGGAGCCAGGGAGGATGGTGCACAGTCTGGTGGGTTAGTCTGCTGAGGTCTGGCTGGTGCTCTCAATAAGACACGATAGTTACATGGAGATGCCACCCTTCACTTGTGGATCCCTCTGCAAACCCAGCTCTGTTCTCAGGAGCTGAAGGCCTTCTGGATGTGACCAAGTAAAAAA